TCTATTTTACAGACGAGAAAACTGAAATTCAGAAGGGTTTTTTTTCCCCCAAGGTCCCACAGTTATTAAAGGAGGTCACCAGCCTCCACACTAGTCCTTCCAGGCTGAACAGTCCCTGTCCTTGCCCCCTCCTGCACAAACCATCTCCCTGGGGTGACATGGTCCCAGAACAAGCTTGTGAGAGCTTACCACCGAGGAGGGAGCAGCAAACAGCTGGCATAGCAGATGTTTCCAGAGTAAAATCCGCCCACAGCTCAGACCCAGCCCTGTGCTTCCTTCTCCTCTGGATGGCTCCCCCTTCACCCACTGAGCTCCCCAACATCGAACATCGGTTGGCAGGTGGGCAGCTGGGCTCGGTACTCTCAGGTCTCTCCTTAAAATTTCTGAGGCTGTTTGCCCGACAGACAGCTGGGTGACCTCTGTCTGGCTCCTTCTCTTCTCAGGACCCCAAACAAGATTTGGGGTTCCTGGGGCCCAGACACTCTTGTGACAGAATGGAGCCCTCTCTCCAGAAAGCAGAAAGCCAATCAGATCACTTGGTTTCAAGAATCCTTCAGAAGTGAAGTGAAGAATCTTTCATTTCTGGTTGTGGTTCTGGGGCATGAAGGTCGCTCCCAACCACTCCAGGCCTCCGGTCCCCACCACAGAGGAGAGGTGTGGGCTCCTGGGCCCACCCCTTCATATAGGTTCCACAGGCTACTCCCAGAAGCAGGGGCTGCCCTCCAGAGGCAGCGGGACTGACAAGGCATAGTCACCGCTGGCTTATCTCCACAGACTGGGAGCATCGCAGGAAACCTCAGCCTGACCAAGCCGCTCTTCCTGGAGCCTGACCCACTCCTGGAGACCAGGAGCCTGGCTCAGCGGTTCTGGTGCACCAGACCTCCATTAAGGGAAGAGCTTATTCATGGGCCGATTGTCTTGGGTCTGACCCAGTTTCCTGGCCCATCCTCTCCTGCCCATCTGGCTGCGAGAAGCCCTGGTCCACCCCTGGTTTCCACCCACCACCAGGGGGCTCTTCCCAGCCTGGAGCGCCAGCCTTGGCTGGTGAGAGGCCCAGGCAAGGGCAGAAGGACACCTAACCTCAGGCGAAAGGTCTTGGGCTTCCTGCCTGCCCAAAGCCAGGAGGGAGAGCAGTGAACGCTTTACTTAGGCAAGGGGGAAACAGGCCCAGAACACCCTCTGGAGTAGGGTGCAGAGCCATCCCAGAGAACCTCCTAGGTCCCCATTTTACAGTCCCTTGGTTCATGTACTGCACTAGCAAGGATTTCTCCCAGGTCCCCCCGAGAACTGGACACTCTCCCCCGCCAGAACCCAAGTACTCTGGCTGGGCAGTTCTAGGGGGTGGGGATGTTTACACGCACACAAGTGCGCACATACTCCTCATTCAATGCCATGTGTAGCAACTCATTACCCAGGACATGCAGAAATTGGCAACGTATTTATATCAAGCTATTTACGTTGCATTTACAATACACTCTGGCAAACATGTATACATATACCCACATGGTCTGGCCATCTAGACCAGACTGTATATGCTAAGGCATAATTGCTACATATCAGGAACTCTCTTAAATACTTTTGTCCTTGCTTAGGGTATTCCTTAAATCTTCTTCTCTAACAGAAACTCAAAAATGCAAAGAGGGAGAGGAAAGAAAGGAAATGAAAGATGAAGAAAATCAACCATTGCCCCGAACTTGTAACACTGGGGGGAAATGACCAAACTGTAGAGATTTGGAGAACCTCCTGGGGCTGGAATTAGAGACAGATGTCTTTCTGCGGGCATCCATGGGGAAGTGGGGTATGACTTGGCTCCCTTCTCTCAACTCCTCTAATCCCTGTGTAGACCAGGAATCCCTCCCCAATTCCTCCATCTCATCCTCCGAACTGGGTGAGGCTACTGCTCTTTCCCCAGTCGTGGGTGCCTCTCGCCTTTCAGTTCTTGGGGGACAGAGAAAGGCTCTGTCCTTCAGCGCTGGCCTAGGCCAACTTCCCCACCTCACTGGAGGCTCTGCCCAGAAGACTTCCCTTCTCTTCTTTCTCTGCTTGGAATAGCAGTTGTGGGGTGCTGAGAGCCAGCCTTGGAACAGAGAGCCTCGACCAGCTGAAGCAAAGGCTCTGTATGTATTCTCTGTTTTCATTCAACAAACCAAAATTATATACCCAGAACATAACTGCATATGTTACCAATGACTTATGAATGCAACACACGCTGTGGTCCCAGTAACCATTCCCTGAATATTAGCCATGTGATTATTACAATGCCTAAAATATATGCCCTCTCTGAGGGCGAATGACAGATATACACACCTCTCTCCCTGTCACCAGGACATGACTTACACTGTACACACACGTTTGCAGCAGGCATAGACCATACAACTACCAATGAGATACATGTTCACATCACAGAAAGCACGGGCAAGCACACAGCCATCTACTTTCTTTTCCCCACCTCACCTTAGTCAGCCAGACAAAAGTGCAACAGGTTGCCAGAAGCACCCAGACACCAAGCCTGACCAGCCTCTTGGGTTTCTCGCCTGCCGGGGCTGAAGCTCATCTGCAGCCTGCTCTGGTTCCCCTGGCCCTGGCAGGCTCCAGTCCCGGTCTCGGGGTGATGCTCCTCAGAACCCGCACGGCTTCATCCTCCACCTTCCAGCCTCCCCGGGATGCCCGAGGAAGAAGTGGGATTTCTGAGCCTGAGCCACTTCCCCTTGGGGCCAACTACATATAACAGGGCTCCCACTCTAACATTGCCAAGGCGTAACCACCAGTATAGGCTGAAGTGGGAGGCCTGCAGGCTCATTCCTTGCCGCGGGCAGCTCCTCCCGGCTTACTGGTCGGCCTGGACCTGTGGCCACTGCTGTACAGGCTGGGTGGGGGGCAGTGAGCAACACGTGGCTGGGAGCGGGGTCCAGCTCAAGCTGCGCCGCTGCAGTGGCAGCAAGAGTTGGTTGATACTTGTCATCCCACCGAACGACTGAAAGCTGACCACCTCTAATCCTCCTCTCAGCCCCGGCCTGTAATCCGGTCGAACTCCCGTGTGCCTGCGCGGAAGCACCAGTCTGAATTCGTTATTCGAAGAGTCTCATTAAAGAAAAAGAGAGAGAAAAGATTACATTTCTACAGCCAGGCCGTATGTTCACCTATCTCTGATATTGCCAAATCTCTTACACGTACCTCAAGGTAAATGAATTCTGGCCATTAAAAATAAGGCAATCAGTCACTCGTTACATTTGTACAGAGGTTTTCAGCTTACAGAGCATTTCCGCAACCAGGATTTTATCTATTTGGAATAAACTCTTCTGGCTGTTAGATTTAACTGGAAAAATTGAAAAGCATGAAGACAATATAATAAAAACACAGCCCATACACCTAGCACGGCTGTGGAGGAGGTAAAGTTCAAACTTGCATGGATGCAAAAATAGAACAAATCCTACGTACAGTCACGCCTTGTGAAAGAACCACGGCAAATAATGTCTCTGCGATGACGTGAAACAGCCTCAACAGACCAGCGATGACACAGAAAACAAACAATCCCCGGGAAAACAAAGCAGCAGCGACAACCACAAAGGCCCCCCACTCCGGCTGCCCTCAACCCTTGTTTATCTGAAAAAGGATAACTTTTTGCTGAAAATCTCCCTCTTTTAACTAGCTGCTGAACAAACTTAGACGCGACGTAAATAATATAAGTCCGTGTGAAAAGAAAGAACAAAAAAATTTATTCGGGAATCGACAAGACAAAACAACAACAAACAAACAACAAAAGTGCTCTAGTTCTTTCTAGAAAAACTTGGTCCTCCAAACGACACACTACAGAACAACCAGGTCTAGAGTTCTGGGCCAGCAGGCTCGGGGCCACAAGCCCGCCTGGTCCGACTGCTGCCGGGTTTCACATTTCTCCTGCCCAAGGTGGGAGAAGCAAGACGTTTGAAAAACAAAAATCAGGGAGGGGATGAGTTGTCCCTGCAGCTTCCGCCAGGCAGGCAGTGATCTCCCGGCTTTCGGGGGTTTGCATCGGAAGATAGGGGAAATTTTTTGATATTTTTTAAAAAGATAGGTTGAGGGGGGAAATCCTCTAGTTTGCAGAGGAAACCGTCTGTTACTGGGCATATTCTCCTACCTCTGTGAACACAGCTTTTTGAAGGGCCGGCAGGAATTCTACTTCAAATCTCCTGTAGAGAAGATTTTCATGTTTTGCTTTAGCAAACTCCAAGGCCACAATACTTCGCCGGTTTTCCGGTGAGATTTTTCTTTTAAAAAATATATTTTTTTGATATCATCTAAAATAGCCCTCCCCATCTTTTCAGCAAAACATTAGCCAGACGCCCGGGCCTGAAGGGGCCCGAAGCGCCGGGATGGAGAGCGGGGGAAACGCAGCCTCTCTCCGAGCCCGGATGCGGTGTAAACCCCGGCTCCCTGCTCCGGCCCACCGCCCGCCCGGCCCAGTGGGCCCCAGCAAGGGGCTTCTGAACAGCTCCAAGAGGGTACGCGGAGCAAATACACTTTCGTCCCTTTCTCAGTCGGCACGGGTCTCGTTGCCCGCCCAGGCCGGCGCTTCTAGCCAAGGATGGCGCGGCAGCCGGACGGAGAGAGCCGAGCGCGAGCGCACCGACCTGTGAGAAAAGGCCAGGAGGTCTGCGCCGCCGAAGCCCGGCTGCACCTCGGCCCCGGGCACTTCCTCTCCGCCGTGACTTTTGGCAACCGGTGTCCAGCTTGGACTCTGGGGCGCCCGGAGAAGACTAGGCCTGTAGAAAACGCGTGGAGAGGCGGCCTGTAGGCCGGAGGAGCGAAAGGGCATAGAGGGCAGGGAGGCGAGCACAGGAGGAGAAGCGGAGACAAAGAGGAGCGAGGGGAGCCGAGGGGAGCGCGGAGGCGCAGAGGGGCCGTGGGCGCTGGCTCAGGGGGCGGCCCCAGAGGGCGCGCGGTCTGGCTGGCGGCGGTGGCTGCGTCCAAGGCCGGCGTCGCGCGTTCCTGCATCCTCGCAGCCGGCGGGCCCCGGCCTTTCAGAGATCGAGGCGCGAGTGCAGCGCGCCGGTCTTGCTGTCGTGGTCCCAGTAAGAGCAATGCATCATGGCGAGCTCGGGCTGCCGGGCGCAGGCGAACTGCAGGCCGGGTGCGTTGGTGGGCGCGGGCGCCGGGGGCGCGGCAGTAGCCGGGCTGGCGGGGCTGAGCTGGCCGGGGGGCGGTGCGGCGGCCCCGTGGTGCGGCGGGGCCGGCGGGGGTGCGGCAGCCGCGTGCAGATGGTGTGCGTGCGGGTGTGAGTGGGGGTGAGGCGGCGGCGGCGGGGGCGCGGCGGGCGGGCCTCCCAGGCCGTTGTACGAGTTCACTACGCCGGGAGGCAGCGCCATGCTCTGCACGCGTGAGTACGGCCCGTACGAGGCAGCCGGGCCCGCCAGCCCCTTGACCACAGCGGCCGCGCCTGGGCTGCCCGGGCCTGCGGCCGCCGCTGCTGCGGCCGCCGCCGCAGCGGCCGCCGCCATCTGGCACGAGGCGTAGGGCATGGGCGAGGGCGGCTGCGGTAGCGGCCACGAGTTGTTGAGGAAGCCGGACTGCAGGTACTTGGGGGGCGCCAGGTAGCCGTAGCCGTCGGTCCCCGCGCCTGCCACGCCGCAGCCACCCGCGGCACCTCCGGCCCCAAAGAGCCCCTTGCCCGGCTGGAAATGCGCGGGCGGCGGCCTGAAGGGTCGTTTCATGCGGCGGCGGCGCCGGTAGTTGCCCTTCTCGAACATGTCCTCGCAGGCCGGGTCCAGCGTCCAGTAGTTGCCCTTGCGCTCGCCGCCGCCCTCGCGCGGCACCTTGATGAAGCACTCGTTGAGGCTGAGGTTGTGGCGGATGCTATTCTGCCAGCCCTTCTTGTTCTTCTCGTAGAACGGGAACTTGGCGATAATGTACTGGTAGATGCCGGACAGCGTGAGCCTCTTCTCGGCGCTCTCACGGATCGCCATGGCGATGAGCGCCACGTACGAGTATGGGGGCTTCTGCGCCGGGTCCGGTTTCTCCGGGGCTGTCCCGGCGCCGCCGCCGCCACCCTTGCCCGGGCTCGGCGGCGGCGGCGCCTCGGGCTCCTTGGCTGCGCGGCCGGTCTCCGGGGCCAGTAGGGCCCCCGCGGCGTCCTCGGGCTCGGGATAGCTAGCCATCATGACAAAGCCGGCCGAGTAGTCCCTGCTCTTTTCCGCTGGCGCTGGCGCGGCAAAGAGTCCCGGCGCACAAGTCCGCTCACGGCCGAGTCTCAAACTTCTGGAGACTGCGGATACCGCCCGCGCTCTCGCTGGCGGCCTCTCGCGCCTCTCTCTTCTTTCCCTTCCCCTAGGGAGAGGTCGGCGGGAGTGGAACTCAGCCTCTGGCCATGGGCAGTCCGCCCAACAGAGAGGGGCTCCGGCTCCGCCGCCCCTCCCCGCCCAGGCCAGTCCCCGCCTCGGTGGGTTTTCTTTTCTGCGCTCTTCCCCTCCCCCCACCCTCCGGTTTCCCGAGGCAAGACCCGCGTCTCTGGCAGAGCTGCCTCCTGGAGTCCCTAGTGCGCCAGGAGCCTCGCTCTGTTCTGATTCGTATGGGCTCCGCCGAGTTCCGCTTGCGTCAGGCGCCTTCGCCCCTATAGCGGGGCGGCCAGCCGCGCATGGGAGAGTTCATCTCCAAGTCACTTTTTGTAAACGCCCCGCACAGCCCGGACCAGCCTGCCCCCTCCCAGCGAGCTTAGGGGGCCCGGCGGACAGCCGCGCTCACGCTCTCACAAGCCCTTGAATCTGCCGGTGCTCGCTCTGCGGACTGGGCCGGGAGATGCCGAGGGCCTCGGCGGGGTCCGTCCGCACTTGGCCCGTGCCCTGGGAGCTCGGGCCCTAGCGGGGAGAGGCGCGCCAAGCCTCCTCGCAGCTTCCAGGTGAAAGAAAACGACTCCTTTGCTCTGCCCTTCGCTGCTGGCTGGGGGCTAAACTTCTAGCTCCGGTCCGGGGGAGGGCGGGACGGCGAGGGGGCCGGACGAGGGTGGGGTGCAGAGAGCTGCGCGTTGGCTTTGGGAAATTCAGCCCAGAAACCCGTGTCACTGAACGAAGAAACCTCGGCCTGTCCTGTCCCTTGCGCTCTCAGAGTGACTGGGCCGGGACGGAGCCGGGGAAGAAGATCGCTGGGAAGAGGGGTGCAGGGGCTCCGCCTGAAGCCCCTGCACCCCTCCTTGCGCCGCTCCTGGACCTAGGGACCAGACCCCTACTCAGTAACCGCGTCGTAATCCTACGGGTTGGATGTGTGCTTTAACACACAGAGACTCCCTTTAAGCAAGTAGACCCCACTGTGTTCCTGCGCCGACACAGGCGCAGATGTTGCCGTGGGGCTTTGGGGGACTGTATATGTATGTGCACCGCATCACAAATAGAAGTCATGGGGAGGGTCTGTCCTTGTGACACGTGAGATACCAGCTGTCCGGGTGTGCGTGTGCTGGTGCAGAAACACAGGTATGCACATATACAAGGTGTGATATTTATATTTATGGGGTAAAACACATTTATACTTATAGCTATGTAATGGTATATGTGTATCATGTATCAGAGTAAATGTGGCTCATGAATATTGCATCTTCTTTCTTTTTCCTCTTTTCTCTGTCCTCTCTCTCCTTTATTTATTCTTTCCTTCCCTTCCCCATTTCCCCTTTTCTTGCTTTCTCAATTCTTCCTGCCTCTCTCGCTGCTGGTGTATATAATCTATCACAGCCTAGGAAGAAAAACAACAGGCTGTAAGGGAGGTACTTGTTCAAATCTCTCTCCTGACAAGACATTTGTTCGATCTTTCTCCAGGGCTGACGGGTGAATTCTCACCTACTTTCAGCAGAAGTCTGATTGGGACCCAGTTGCATGCAGGGAGGTTGTCTCAGGGGAAATCAGTGTTGGCAAAATAGTCAGGTGTGTCTTTTAACAGTTAACTCAGCCTTAACAAAAAGTCTGCAATCATAAAGTGTGAGAGAGATGGCCGGTGTTTTGAGTCTTCATGCCCCACACCCCTTGTCGCCGATGGGGCCAGGATACTTTGTGGAGGAAGGTGAACTGAATGGATGTCATGCGGGTGTGTGTAGTGGTTGGCATGTCTGGAGTGGCTGGCCCAACGCCTGTCACTACCTCTTCCTCCCAAGCTGCCCAGTCTCTGAGGAAGCCTGAAGGGCCACTGGTGGCCTATGGGCCTTTTCCCCAGCATCCACAGGCCGTACCCTCATGTGCGGCCTCTTCCCACTCAGGCCCCCGATCTGCATTCTGAGATTAAAGGAAAGGAGGACAGGGTGATCAGGCTGTTTGGAATTCAGCATCTTGAAGATGACTCCAGAGAGCTCAGCAGGGCAGCCTGGCCTGAGCACCACAGTAAGAGGGAAAAGGTCCCAAGTGGCTTGATTGTTTTCTTTCACTGCTTCCAACATACACCGGGGCAAGCAGCTCTTCTTCAAAACTTCTGTGGTTGCTTCCTGAGCAAGAGCGAAGGTGTTTTCTTCTTTCTCACCCCCCTTAGTGCCCAGGCTATGGGTGGGAGTGGTGTGAGTTGGGTTTGGGGCTGCTGCAGATTGACCTCACTGTCCATCCTCCCCCAGGGCCTTGGCAGGGGAAAATACAGCTGGGGGGTGGGGGGCTGCTCTCTCCTCTGTTTTTTTCTGACCACCCAGGCTGGCGCCCCCTCTCTCTCCCTCTCCCTCTCCCTCTCTCCCCCTTGCAGGCATTTCCGCTGCTGGCCTGCAGCAGCCAGGTGTGACAGCATTGTTGTGTGTGTCATCACTTCCCTGAATTCCAAACTTGGCTCCCTTTTCAGCCTTTAAGGACTGTGTGTGTGTGTGTGTGTGTGTGTGTGTGTGTAGGGGTTGGGGTTGGGGGTAAAGGAAGGGGTTGCTCTCAAGGATTTTCTGAGTAGGAAGGAAGAGGAGTCCTGCTCCCAGGTATCGATTTCTCCAGGAAACGGTGGGGCGCCCCTTGGTTTACTTCTCAGCCCTCTTGGGCAGGCTGGGTAGGGCCCTGCTTCTGGGCGAGGTCGGGATCCCGCCGGCAAGACAGACCGCGCCGAGGCTTGTGTGGGGCCCCAGGGCGTTGCGGCGCGCAGGTCTCCGGCTCAGTGACCTTGGGGCGGTGCCCACGTCCAAGGGCCGGGCGGAGCTCCCAGCCTCTCCGGCCCGGGTTTCCCGGCGGCCCTCAGCTGCGGCTCCGGTCTTCCAGCCCGAGCACCGCTGGCCGACGCCGTGGAGACCCGCCGACCTAGCGCGGCCGCCGGCCCCGCGTCCGCCCCGCGCGGCGGAGGCCCCGACAGCCGGAGCGAGCTGTGCCCTCCGCTCTGATGGAGCGAGGCGCTCCTTTCCCACGGCCGGGAATCCTGCAACAGCGCTGGAGCGGCCCGCGCCTTGGGAACCTGGAGGCCGGGCCCCGCCAGGTGAGCCGCCCGGCGGCCCCGAGGCAGGCGGAGGAGCTTCCCTGGCCCCGCTCAGCTGGCCCCGAACCGCCGGCGGCGGAGGCCCCCGAACACCCACCGCTCCCCGCTCCTGCGGGGCGAGAGGGAACTCTGCGGCGCCACGGCGGGAAAAGGGAAGCTTGAAAACGCGTGGTGACACCTCAACAGCTGTCAGCACCGTCCCGGCCCACCTCACCCTACGGACTCCAGGTCTCTCTACCCAGGTCACATTCCTCCATCCATCCATCTCTCTCTTAGTCAACCCCCATTATCCCCTCCATTTCTCCTTTCCCCCACTACTCTCTCACACTCTCCTGTCACATATACTAGTTCAGATCCTGCACATTTTGATGGAAAACCTGTCAGTCTGATGCTGGGACTCTAAGCCTCTTCACACACTCCCACACCCAGCTATCTGAAGACTGATCTCTTGGCTCCATGTCTGCAAGTCTGACTCCCAAGAAGCCTGCTGATTCTCTGATGTCCTTGGCCCGCGGTTAGGGTGACTGGGCTGCCACCTGGACGTCACCATGGCGAGGCTGCTGTTCAGAGTTCTTTTGAGAAGCTCAGGTACAGAACATATACCTGATGCACTTGAACA